GATGGAGCAGCTGGGGACTTTAGATCCAGACAGAGACAGGGGCTGTGTGCTGACGACCAGGGGGCAGGCTTGTAGGGTTAAGGATGCATGGAGGGGACTATAACCATGGCAATGAAATGATATATAATAGGATGAATGTAAAGCTAATGTTCTCCCATGTAAACTATCATATAATTCACAATAAAACATTTAGAAAAAAAAGAAAGAGCTAAAGTGAATAGAAACACTGTTAACTGATGGTACATGGAGGGAATTACAATCATTGTAATGAAACAAGGTGTATGATTTGTTGAATGTAAAACCGATGATCTGCCCTGTAAACTTTCACTCAAGCCACAATAAAAACCTTAAAAAAAAAAAAAGTGACAGTCCCACTGACATATCCAGGCAGGGACATTTAGAAATCCATGTATGCCCCAAATAAGAATTCCTAAAGACGATGATGAATGCTGCTTTGACAAATATAAAATCTGAAACCAGTATTTGAGGCTCACATGTATGTAATTATTCTAATGCTATTTAGGAAAACAAACTATTTCAATGATGAATGCCACCAGGATTCTGTAATACTAAGTCCTCCTTGTAAAACAGACTTACCTCAAAATTCACAGGCATGTTCCGTTTAAGTGCAATCTCAAACACTTGACTTATTTCAGATTTATTAAGATTTTCTTCTTCCGATTCTCTTCCATTCACCTAAAAGAAGAAATGTTTAGTAGGTAACTTGTACTAAAACCATTAACATTCCAGCTGGGGTTGTTGCTGTTGTTAAGTGTCACTGAGTCAGTTCCGACCCAGAAAGACCATGGCTAGGGTTTCCGAGGAGTGGCTGTTAGGACTGAACCAGCAACCTTGCAATCCAGCACATTATCCTGCAGTATCACACCAAGACTCCTTAAATGCCAATGAACCTTGCTTGCCTTTGTGGATTTAACACTGATCAGTGAACAGGGCAGCACGGATACCATGTATCACTGGATTTAAATGCTAAAACCAAAAACCCCTCTCAAACTTGGTTCAGAAGATGTTAAGGTGCCAGTATATAGATTTCAAACTCAGAGTGGCAACAGAACAAAACTCTGCCAAGTCCTGGACCATGCTCACAATCACTGCTACGTGTGAGCCCATGGTTTCTGCTACTGTGTCGATCCTTCCCAAAGAGGGTCAGACAGTGCCTAACCAACCCACCATAAGCATTCCATACACAATAAACCTTATACAAGCAGCTGAACTGTGGGGCAGCAAGATGTTACTGGCTCCCTGGGAGCAGGGATTTCTGAAAGACTGCTCTCTCACACAAGTAGTGTCATGCTATACTTTGTGGCTAGAGCACAATAGACAGATCTGTGTGGGACACTGGAAGTCCAAAGCCTCTTCATCTAAAGTATGCTTTCAACATACAATTCCTGGAAACTGCTTTACAGAAAGGATATAACCAAACAGAATGTGATTAGAAATTACAAAACTGCTGTCTCTCTCACATATATGGTTTCTGGCAAAATTCAAGGTGCAAACAAATCCTGAACCAAGTCAGAGACCTGTCCTCTAATGAAGTTTGGAATTCAGGAGGGGCAGAGCTATTCTGCCAGCATGTAATAACATGGATTTCATACTGTACTTTAGTAGTAATCTGAGAGGGACCCCGGTGGCACAGTAGTTAAGTGCTCAGTTGCAAACTGAAAGGTTAGTGCTCTGAATCCACCAACTGCTCCAAGAGAAACCAATGAAGCAGTCTGTTTCTGCTAACATTTACAAACTTGGAAATCCTACAGGACAGCTCACTGCCTTACAGGGTCGTTATGAGTAGGAACCCATTCAAAGACAATGTGTTTGGTTTGCTCTGGGTAATTGAGGAACTACATAACCTCAGTAATAGCAAAGCCCAAAAAAACCATGGCAAAAGAACAGTATTTTCTTCACCTACTGGGACTTGTTTGTAAAAATTTTGTCTCCAGGATTAAAACTATCTGACAGAAGCTCGTGACTGAAATTGCTGAACGGACAAGGTTCTACATGAGACTTTATCTGCTGTGTGTTTCCTTCTGTTTCCCTAACTACACTGGACTAGTAACAAAAGCTGCAACTAAATTGGATAAAACTCTAGGTTAAAACAAACAAAAAAACCTAATGAATGCAATCAAAGGTATACCATTCTGAACAAATAAATATGTTCCAGACTCTAGCCACTTCCCTCCTATGATGATAATGTGCTCTCTCCAATTTGGTTTCTATTTCCTCATGACTTGGTCAAAACTATTTGCATGGCATTTCTATTTATCTTTGTTTTTGCAATTCTGAGCAGCAAGAAGGCCTGTTGCCTTTTTAGGAGTAGATCCTTACAACCGGAAGTCTTTGGGCAGTCTGGATTGAATTTCTGAAATAGATTTTTATCTACAAAGGAAAATTATAGTAAGACTATTTTAAAAAGTAAATATAGGTGCCTTCTGACTACCAGTACACTGGAGACTGTTAACTCATGAACACAGAACACAACGGACCTGGGGGCAGCTGTTTGAAGAACATCCAGAATGTGTCACCAGAAAGAAATCTAGAAATAAACCAGGTGCTGAGATCAGTACCAAACTGCAGCTGGCATGGCTATACCCTAATTCTCAAGATTTGGCTCCTCATAGCAGCCCAAGTGCTTTTAACTCTACTTGGTTTTGAATTAAGATGTATTTCCAACAGAGAAGAAAACGTAAACAAAAACGTCACGGGAAATTACCTCAAATTTACTGTCAACATAAAGTCCTACACCAAACTTTTTATTTCCCCCTAAAACCGTGCAGACCTTCTTATCCTCCTGTCTGTGGGAAAGTCCACCACCACCCTAAAGTAGGACTGTGTTTCTGCTTAGGTAATGGACAGAAGCAATATAAAGTCTACTTCTGTTTTAGAAATGCACATGTTTTTCACGTCCTGACTGCAAACAATATAAATTCAGACAGCATATTTTTGCTAATGAAAATTACCTTTGTACACTAAAATTTCACATCAAAATGGTAGACAGTGCTACTCAAAAAAAGAAAAAGAAAACAGAACTCATATTTTTGCAGGTAGGGGCTAAATAATCATTGTAATGTTTGAATCCATTGTAATGTTTGAACCTATGTATGCTTTTTGGTTATTCTCATTTGTTTTAAGTCCCCGGGTGACTTGAACACAGAGTTCACGATCTAAGCCACTGCTTTCAAAGGAATTTTAATAGAGAAAAGGCAGTCAGTAAGATAAAAATATAAAAAACAAAACCATTTATTTGGAATGAGATTATGCTGCATTTTTACAGAAAACATTTTAATGGTTTATCCGGATTACACAAAACATAGTAATGGAGTGCATAAAACAAAACAAATCCACAAATACTATTTCTCATAAGATGGTAAATTTGGGGAAAGTGAGGTGGGCTCTTAGAGTCTTTCACAGATAGGGATTATAGGTAACATCGACTTCATCATATGTGATCCAGCTACAATAGGCAGTATTAAGAAAATATCATTCTGAACCATGTTTAATCCTCAGTATGCGAGGAAAAATCATCAGGCAACTATCTCTGATATTTTTGCTTTTAGCTAAAATCCATCTGACATCAGCAATATTTCGCATTCCACGTCCTCTTCTAATGCGGCTTGAATTTCTAACAGTTCTCTACTGGTGTGCTGCTACAACCTTTTAAATTATCTTCAGCAAAATTTAACTTGTAGAGCTTGCTTCGGCAGCACATATACTAAAATTGGAACGATACAGAGAAGATTAGCATGGCCCCTGCACAAGGATGACACACAAATTCGTGAAGCGTTCCACATTTTTTTGCCAACCAAGAATCCTTTATCCAGCAAAGCTATCAGTCAAATATGAGGGTGTAATCTAAACATTTCAGGATATACAGAAGCTATGGGACTTCACCAAAGCCAACCCAGCGCTACAAAACATCCTAAAGGGAGTTTTGTGGATGGAGAACCAACAAGAAAAGACAACAACCAGAGATTGACATAGGTGGCAGCACCTCCCTGAATTAAGTCAATAGAAAGAAGAAATGTCAACAAAACAAAACTATAAGAACAAACTCAGGGACTCTGGGAGGGCAGTCTATGACCTAAACAAGTACAATGCAAAAGAAGGTGAACATGTAGGAACAGATATCCAGACGAGAAGGTCAGGTAGATTACAAGAGAAAATAGCCTGCACTAAATGGACAGAGAAGTCAATGGACCATAAGGCAACCTCAAAGAAAATTAACACTTCACAGCATACCAAGAGAATGAGAATCCAAGAAGAATATGAAAACATTAAAACTATGAGGAAACACAAGAAAGAGCACACAAATCATGAACTCAACAGAGAAAGACAAACAGAACAAAGAAGCAGCAACACCACAAAAAAACAAATATAATGACAGCAAATAATCAATACCTATCGATAATTACAGGAGCTCTAGTAGCGTAGTGGTTACGAATCGGGCTGTGAACCTTAAGGTCAGCGGTTCGAAACTACCAGCTGCTCCGTGGGAGAAAGATGAGGCTTTCTATTTCCGTAAAGATTTACACTCTCGGAAACCCTGTACAGGGTCGCTATGGGTCAG